TTCAACGCATTTCAATGCATTATGTTAAATAATGTTCACATTCAATATAATGCATTGACCAACAATGCATTTCAATGAATTATCTTAAATAATGTTGAAACTTCCCATGTAGCCGATAATGGATAAATAGTGCAAAACTGACACATTATTTTCCATTATTTCGTAAAATGCATCAAATAATTAATGACAATGCATTATTTTTCATAGTTTCAATGCATTTTTTAGGAATAATGTTCTAATACTCGAAGATGGATTGAAAATCAATGCATTTTCAGAAATAATGCCTCAATATTTGATAATTCAGTAAAATTTCAATGCATTGTCACGCATTATCGAAAATAGTGTACAAATGACCGATAATGCATTATTATACATCATTAGAAACAATGCTTAAGTGTCTGGTAATGCCGTCAAACCTCTTTGTGGTTTCAGAGAACATGTCTAGATGTTACATAATTCAGTAAGACTTTAATGGATTCTGATTCATAACTTGGAATGTTGATCTATAAACTTCAACACTGCATTATTCACGCAAAGGAGATTACAATAAGATACTTCGCAAATTCAAAAATAAGATGTCACAAAGCGTAACACAGGCTGTCGACCTTTTACCAATTGGTGTTCAAAGACAAGTTTAATTCTATCGTGTATGTATAACACGTTTGTTGTTGCAGGGGTGAGGCATATAAATATATATGAGCACGGAAATAAAAGGAACTATTCAGAAGCTGGTAGAGAATCAAAAACTCGCTGGAAAGTACTGGAGAGAACATTCATGATCTATGCAGAAAGACTAAGAAAATGGATGTAGATGACCATTCTAGAAAGGGAACATATGCATTCACGCATGACAACAGAATGCAAGAGCATGAAGATGGAAAGTACATACGATGACGTCACAACAATGATACAGAAAAAGATGGCATATACAGGCCATGACACTACTTAACCGCTTTCTATGTATCACACCTTTTTAACGAACATTCTTCCAAGTGCAGTCATCAACGTATAGATCTAATGGTTTAGTAATAAAGGATACGTGTAAGTTTCAAGTGACGGAGAAAAAGTGAAAGTCTCGTGCTTCATCACACTTCGAGAGTGCGCCGAAGTTATCCTCGCAAACTTTTTAATGACTTAAAGTTTACCACGACAAAACTTGCTTCAATTAGTTTGAATTAATTCTATGTTCATCTATCACATAATAATGCTCAGATACTTCATTGTACTTCGCCAACATTCTAATTTGAATCGCAATGAACTTCTCGAGCTTTACCGAGGGGCAGACTTATCAAGAATAAATCCAAGCTAATATGTTCGTGGTGCACACGAATCAAAGACTACAAATAGCTAGGACATTCTCCAGGATAACTTTGACCCATGCCTTAAATACAAACCAATAGCAAAACTTTTGTTTTTTCGTTCTTCACATAAAGTCATAGCATGTGGTCAAAAGGAAATCAATATCAAGCTACAATCAAAGAGGTAGAATCATAAGAATGTAGCTGCACAGGACTAGGGGTATATGATTAATGGTGTGGGGGTAAGGGTCTAGGGTTAAGAGTATAGGATTAAGGGTATAGACATAAGGATATAAGGTTAAGGATATAGGCGTGAGAGTGTAGGCATAAGGGTATAGGGTTAAGAGCATAGGGTGAAGCGTATAGGCGTAAGGATATAGAATTATGCGTATAGGCATAAGGATAAAGGGTTAAGGATATAGGAATAAGGATATAGGAATAAGGGTATAGGATTAAGGGTATAGGATTAAGGGTACAGTGTTAAGGGCGTAGGGTTAAGGGTATAGGTTTAAGGGTATAGGGTTAAGGGTACAGTGTTAAGAGCATAGGGTTATGGGAATAGGGTTAAGGGCATAGGATTAAAGGTATAGGATTAAGGGTATAGGGTTAAGAGTATAGGATTAAGGGTATAGGGTTAAGGGTATAGAGTTAAGGGTATAGGATTAAGGGTACAGTGTTAAGAGCATAGGGTTAAGGGTATAGGGTTAAGGGCATAGGATTAAGGGTATAGGAACAAGGATGTAGGGTTATGAGTATATGGTTAAGGGTATACAGTTACCGATAAGGAGATAAGCGTAAAGTGATAAGAGTATAAAGTATGACGTTCTTAATGCATTAAAATGCATTTTTAACAATAATGAATGTAATTACATGATAATGCAACTCAAACAATGCATTATAATACGTTGATGTTTCAATGCATTGCAATGGGTTTTTATAAAAAATGCATTATAATGCATTATTTGGGTTGCATTATCATGTAATTGCATCCATTTCATTTCTATTGAAAAATAATGCATTGCAATGTACATTATTTCTAAAAATCGGCTACATGGGTAGTAACGATCTCCAGAATTGATGTTTTATATATTACTTGGAGTATATTGATTTTTTATTTCAAAGTAAATATGATTGCCTTTGTTATTGTAATAGATTGTTGGGAGTTTGTTGCTAAATCATATGTATAATGTTCTTTTGCAATTGTTTGTGCTTTAATAACTTCAAATACTTTTTTTGCCATATTATCTTCATGATTTTCTGTGGATATTTCATTGTTTAATCTTATGCTGGAAAATCGATTTTTAAGTATTGATAGAATTTGTTGCATGAAATTTTCTTTTTTTTTCTTGTCGTTCTTCGTTTGATAATGATGCATCAAATACTTGTTCAATTATATGATCAGAATTTGTTGTCCTATCAAAATAACTAAAAATAAGACCAATTGTTCTTTGTAACCAGAATTGTTCTTGATCATATTCTCTTGGTATAAGAATATTTTCTTCAACTGGTACTGATGGATCAATTAATATTAAGGATTGAACTGTTGTTTGATGTTTATTATATAATTGTCGAACCATTTCATAAGCAATAGTTCCTCCCAATGAATAACCAAGTAAATGATATGGTCCAGTTGGTTGAATTCTTTTCATTTGAAAAATATATTATTCAGCTATTATTTCAATTGATTGAAGATATAACTCATTAGATTCATAACCACTTGCACGAAAAGCAAATATTGATGGACAATCATTTTTATAAATATCTTTTAATTGAATAGCAAGTTGAATAAATGTTTGAGAAAGACCAATTATATCATGAATACAAAATAATGAATATTTTGAATCTGAATGATACAATGGAATTATAAGTGATGTACCATTTGAATTCATTTCTGATTGTTTAATATTTTTCATTTCATTACTTAATAAAGAATTTTCATTCGTATTTATATCTATATCTGATAAATCTTGATTATTGTTTGAATTAATTGTAGTATTGGTTTTTGTTTGTTTATTAACTGGCTGATTGTAAATATATGATGCAAGATCATTAATTGACATTCCTTGTACTAATTCAACAAGTGGAATGTTTGAAAACATTTCTTTTAATAACCAACTTCGAAGTTCTACAGCAATTAATGAGTCCATTCCTTGTTGTACAAGTGGTTTATTCACATCAATACGATCGGCATTTAAAGGACCAAATAATTTTGAAACTGTCAAACGTATTTTATTAGTAATTATATCAATATCTAACGTCAATTGTTGATTATCATTTGATGAAATAGGTGTGTCTTGATTTTCATTTTTAATCTGTAAAAATTCATTAGCAAAATGAACAAGTTTTGATGATAAATTTGCTTGAAGTAATTTTTTCCAGTTAACAACAAACATAACTGGATTAAAAAGATTTGTTTTTTCTAATGTTTGTTGTTGAATAAATTGTAAATGTTCAATCATTTTAAAAACATAATTTGATGGCATTAAATGTATTTCTTGGTCCTCCATTAATTTAATAGTTGATTGTGCATTATTATGAAGATAACCAGCTCCAGATATAGCTGGTAAACCAATAGAAATAGCTGAAAGATTTCGATAATTCAATCTCCAATAAGGAAGACTATCAAGAAAATTATTTCCAGCATTATAATTTGATTGACCAACATCAGGTATATGATTTCGAATTGATGAAAACATTATAAAAAAATGTAATGGACATGATAGTTTTTCTGTTACACAATGAAGATTCCATGCACCACGAATTTTTGATTGCATTACTTCAGATAGAAGATTTTCTTTCATATTTCGTAATAGACTATCACGTAAAACCATTGCACTATGAATAATACCACGAATTGGATATGATTCATTTTCATGAATAGAACTAAGAACAGATAATACTTGTTGAAAATCTGTTACATCTGCCTTCATTACTTGTATATATGCATTATTTTTATCTGCTATTTGTTTAAGATTTATCCAATTTTTAAATTGTAAAGTAGTAAAATTTAATTCCCTAATATCTTTTCTTGATAAAAGAATTATTCTTTTTACACCACGTTCTTTTATCATCCATTTTGATATATCAATACCAAGACCACCTAATCCTCCACTAATAACAATAGTTTCATGATTACAAATTTCATCTGGGAATACACTTTCTAAAATAAAAGATTAAAAGTTGAAATTAAAAAAAAAAAAACTCGAAAACTTTTTTAAAACAAACCTTTTCGTTTCTGTTGTATTTGTTGTTCATTTTGATTACTTTCAATTTTTAATCGTTCATTTGATTCAACAATTTTGATAACAAATTTTCCAATATGTGTTGCTTGAGAATATGTAAAAAATGCTTGTTGTATTTGTGATGCATCAAATTCTTTAATTGGTGTAATAGGTTTTAATTTTTTATTTTGACATAAATTTAAAATATTTTTTAGAAGAAGTTGAATGAGTTCTGGAGAATATTTTTTAACTGAAATTAAATCAATAATATGAAAAGTACAATTTATTCTTAATGAAAATAATGATAATTTTGAATTTGCATAAATATCACGTTTACCAAGTTCAATAAAATGACCAAATGGAGCAAGTAATTCTAATGATTCATTTATAAATATTCCAGAAAGTGAATTAATTATAATATCAACAACACCATTTGGTGCAATTTGATGTACACCTGATATAAATGATAAATCTCTACTATTAAAAACATGTTCTATATGATATTTTTCTCTTAAAAATGTTCGTTTTTCTTCCGTTCCAGCTGTTGCAATAATATTTGCTCCAATCATTTGTGCATATTGAATAAATGCTAATCCAACACCACTTGTTGCTGTATGAATTAATATTGTGTGTTCTTTTTTTTAAATAAACACGATTTTCAAGACAATATAAAACAGTTAAAAACGTTGGTAATGTTGATAATTCTTCCATAGTTAAATTTGATGGTACATGAACAATATCATTTTCATTTGCAATTATATGTGATTTAAATACACTTTCATTTGTTATTGTTCCAATAACTCGATCATTTATATTATATTTAACTTGAGAATCTTTTCGAATAATAATACCCGAAAAATCTGCTCCCATTATTTGATCACTATCATATTCATTTTCACTTCCTCGTATATAAGGATGTAAACCACGAACTTTTAACATATCACGAAAACTAATACTTACACAATGAATTTGAATTTCAACATCTGTTGATGAAAGATTTCTTCATTGATGATTATGAATCCATCGAAGATCTGATATATGTCGAGATTTAGGAATTTCCAATTGAAAACGAATTCGATCAATATTTAATTTAGGAATTATTTCAATTGTAATCAAATTTGGATTTTGATATTTTGATAATTCAATTATTGAATATTTTGGAGTAAATCTTTGTATCATGTTATTATAAGAACTTAATACAACTGCTTCATGTTGAGAAGAATTTGATGAAGAATTAATTGTTAAATATAATTCTTTTATTAATGCATCGAGAAGATCAATTGTTAAACGAGAAAATTGTAAGTCGATTAATTTCATTCGATTACTTTTATATTCATTAATAATAGATCTTGCAAGACCAATAATTGGTGATTGAATTAAATTATAATTTTCTTGATAATAGCTATTATTATTAATTGGTTGAGAATTATCTGTAAGAATAAATATATTTGGATCATTATCAAATTTAATATCATAAATTGATTGTACAATATACATTAATGTTTCACAGCCAAGTTGTTGTTGAGATTGAAAAACAGAATCATTTGTAATATTATCTATTGATAAGTCCATAGGTCAATTAAATAAAATGTTTAATATTGAATTTTTTGAATAAGATTTTGCTTGAATTAAATTTCGAATTATCGAAGAACTATTAGATGTATCATTAAGTATGATTTCTTTAAAAGAATTTATTGAATTATTCGTTGTTGATAAATAAATAAGTTCTATATTTTCTTTATTAACTTGATATTTGATTAAAATGTTAGCAATTAATTCTCCAATTTTAAATTTTTGATCAGAAAAAATTATCCAGAATTGTTCAAAATTTATTGATTGAGAAGATACATCTAAAGAATTTGAATTTAATTCCGTTAATTTTCAATATTGATATGCACAAAAATGTTCAATTAATTCATTAACAGATACAACTTTTTTTGGATTATTATGATATATATTGAATTACTTTCTTCAACCTTTTGCATTAATGATTTTGTAATATTTTGTTTTGAATAATTTTGTATTTTAAATCCTCGTAATATCATTATTGGTGTTAAAGAAGATGATAATTGATTAGTTTCACTAAAAACAAGAATATCTGTTGTAAAATTATTATCTGATATAAGTCCTTTAACAGATTTATTTAATGATTGAGTTGCATAAAATTTTGTATTTGATTATTCGATAATTGAAACAAAATTTTTTTTTCTATCACATAAAATAATTTCATCAATTGAAGCCGGTACAAAAGTATCAAAAAAACCGCCAGGAACAATTGAAATCACTCCTTGAAAACAACCATCTAATATAGATGGATGACAAATATATTCTTGTTTATTTGAATTTTCTTCTTGAATTAGTGTCGATGGAATCGTTATTTCTGATAATGCTTCATATGTATATCTATATAATTTTTTTTATTGATCGAAATTGTGGACCAAATGTTAGACCACATTCAGAAAAATATTTATATAAATTTTCAATATCATTTTCATTTTCTGCTATTATTGTTGAATTAGTATTATTTGATAGTAATAAACGATTTAAAATTGATTGAATATCATACATAGAACTAATTAATGAAGCATCAATTTTTAAATTGATTAAATCAGAACAATGTAAAGACCATTCTTTTGATGAATATTTATGTAAAGAATTTTCATCAGAAAATGTTATTTTTATTTCATTACCACTAATACCAGCAAGATGTACAGAATCATTCGGAGGTTTTCGACGACTATAAATAAAAAATTCTTTAAATGGCATTATGATTACTGTTTCAATTTGAATTGTGTCATCATTATCTAAATGAAGTCCACTAAGAAACTGAATATTTTGTAAAGTAATTGATTGTTGTTCTGATGATACATATTGAAAAAGTTGATTTATAGCTGATATAACAAGTTCAATAAAAGCTGAAGCAGGAAATAAAATATCTCCATGAATTTTATGATCAAGTAAATAAGATAAATGCATTGAATCTTTATTCATTGCAAAAACATTTTTCCATTTTGGTGTTTGTGTTTCATTATGCCATAAACGACATCCAAGTAATGGATGATGTTTTTTCTTAATTGCTCGTCGAGAAAAAAACTGAATCTTTTGATTTATACCAGTATATTTGGTGATTAAATGTATAATTTGGTAATGTATCAATAAAAGAAATAATTGATGTTGATATTGGATTATTTTTTGTAAAAGTTGTCCATATATATGTGAATTAAAAAATCGTTGCCAATCAATTAAATGTGAACCAAAATATGAAAGTAATGAACATAATGATGATAGAATCGTTTGTTGTTCGTTTTCTTTTCTTTTCAATGAATAAATAGTTATCGGAATTTGGATTGATGATAATTTATGTAATTGTTTAAATTCTTGAAAACATTCTATAGTTGTTGATGAAAGAACTGGATGTGATGAAATTTCAATAAATATTGGATTTATATTAGAATCTTTCATATCATTACATATTGATTGAATACCATGATTATTAAATAATACTGGATTTCGAATATTCTTCCACCAATATGCTGCATTTAAATTCAATTGATCAATGCGAGTTACAGTTACAGTTGAATAAAGTATTGCATTAGAACATCTTTCATCAAGTTCATTACGATTATGATTATAACCTTTAATATTAGAAAGTGATTGAATTAATTCTTCATAAATATTAAATCGTTCCATTTGTTTACAATGAAATGCATTTCGAATTTTTAACCATGATTTAAAAACATTTGGTTTTGTTGTCGTAAGATTATCATAAATACGTTGTAAAACATCTTCATCACCACTTAATGTAACCGATTTTGGACTATTAATAGCAGCAATTTGAACTCGATCTTCAACATCAGAAATTAATCCTTGCTTTCAGGGTGTGGGTGTGGGTGTGGGTGGGTGCGAATGTAGGGTGTGGATGGGTGTGGGTGTGGGTATGGGTGGTGTGGATGGGGGTGCGTGCGGGTGTTGTCTTTACTAAGACTTACACTCACACTTACACTCACACTTACACTCACACTTACACCCACGCCGACACCCACACCCCACACACCCACACATCCACACACCCACACCCACACACCCACAGCCACACACCCCACCCACACCCACACCCACCCACATCCACCCACACCCACCCACATCCACCCACACCCAGACACCCACCCCACACCCACACACACCCACACCCACACCCACACCCAGACACCCACACCCCAAAAAAATGAAGATTTTGAAAGTTTTATTAAATGGTGGTTTTAAATCATGATGATGTCAAAAGATAAAGAGATAAGTATTTTTTGCGACAAAAAATACCAGTTTGTACAGAATCAGACGTCGAATCTTCAGATAAAAAAGTAAAGCGGGAGCGATAAGATAACGCTCAATATAATAATAAAATATAGAGACCATTATTTATTATGGGCCACCTGTTCGTTCTTGTTAGGATAGATAAAACATCTTTAATTTTATTTCATTGCACGTACATATCTTAACAGAATGAAATGCTAATTATCACATATCAAAAATTCACTTTTACGTATGTTTACTGTTTTAGTTCTAGTTTAAAGTATTCTTCAGTGTTTTATTATCCAAATCACAATGACTTGGGAAGAAATTGTGGATAAAAAACGGAAAGCGTTGTTCGCACTTATTCCTGAGAAATGGCGTATTCCAAGTGATCAGCTACCACCCGAATCTGAACGATCCGTTATTTCATTTATTGAACAAAGTAATTTATTAACTGCTGAAGAATTGGCTATAACTGCATTAAAAGTCAATGAGCTGAGTGGAAAGATTGCCTCCGGCGAATATACAGCCACTCAAGTTTGCCAGGCATATTGTCACCGAGCAACAATTGCACATCAACTAGTTAATTGTCTTACTGAAATATGCTTTGATGCTGCATTGGAACAAGCAAAAGAACTTGACGAATATTTTCAAAAGCATGGAAGGACAGTAGGATTGCTTCATGGTGTACCTATCTCGCTCAAAGATCAGCTTCGCGTTAAAGGACTGGAATCTTGCATTGGTTATGTTAGTTTTTTGGGAAAAGTGGATGGAGATGAAAGTATATTAACTGAATTGCTACGAAAAGCAGGTATATAAATTATTCATATTTAAGACAATTCGATGTTGTCTATAAAACTCTACAAAGAAAATTTTAAATATTTTTCTATACTGTTAAACTAAAAAAAGTACGAAAGTATAAAAGTAATAAGACATCTGATACAGTTTTTAAGTGGAGCACTGCAGAGAAATGAATCAACGTTGAATCTATCTCATTATATTCAATTATTACTAGGTGCTATTATTTATGTCAAGACAAATGTTCCACAAACATTAAGGTTCGGAGAAACAGTCAATAATATTATTGGACGGACATCCAATCCTTACAATCGATTGCTTTCATGTGGTGGATCAAGTGGTGGTGAAGGTGCACTACTTGCACTTCATGGAAGTCCACTGGGCGTCGGTACAGATATTGGAGGATCAATTCGTATACCGGCATCATTCAGCAATTTATGGAGTTTGAAACCTAGTCATGGACGATTACCATACGGAAATATAAAGACAACTTTAGACGGAAAGGAATCAATCGCTTCTGTTTGTGGTCCAATGGCACATTGTGCTAGTGATTTAGTTTATTTTATGCAAGCAGTTTTACAACAAGAGCCTTGGAAATATGATCCAAAATCAATTGATATGCCTTGGCGAGAGACACGATATTTGGAAGGCAAAACTGGAAAGAAAGTTTTTGGAGTCATAGCTACTGATGGGTAAGTGAATGATAAGTATTACATAAAAATAATTTTTAAAAACTAAAATTTCTGTTCAGTAGTCTTATAAAATTCTGATTTTTGTCTTAAAAATACTTTCAAAGAATAGTTTAGTTGACTGCTATTAATAACAAGATATATTTATAGTAATTAAAGTTTAATAAAATATTAAAAATGGAAAGGTTCAGAAGCTCTTAATGATTGGAATGCGACGAAAACATGAAAAAGAATCCATTCAAAAGATATTTTCTCAACTGATGTAAATAGGGATGCATCGAATTTGAATTCTGGTTCGATGTTCGAAATCGAATAGCTCTAATTTACTTTTGGCTTTGGGTACTTCTCAATAAGTCTAGATTGTCGAGTTTCTAGGTTATTGTGTAAGCTTTTCTTTGAGGTATACGAACGGTGATGGAAGCATCATTGAGTTCGGTCAAGTTTGAATTTGGATTGAGGTATTCTTAAAAATCGTTGACTTTCTTTTAGAACACATTTATGTATTAAGCTTTTCTATCTTTTTTACTTCGGTAGAAGGCTAGAATATATTCCGAATCTAAAGGACTAAAATTTGGTGCATGGCTAGATGCAAAAGACTAATAAGTGTTTTCGTTTTGTGTTCTCTAACTAAGACCGTCAACTATTTTTTGAAAGGATCTTTGGATTCGATGGTACTATAATGCCACATCCTCCAATTCTACGTGGTATTCAACAGGTTATTACTGCTTTACGAAAAGCTGGCCATATTGTTGTTCAATGGCAACCGTACAAGCACAAATATGCAGCTGATTTAATTGAAAAAATCTTTAGTGCTGATGGAGCAGCACCTGCAAAGCGCATTATCGCATCAAGTGGGGAACCTCCTATTCCAAATTTTAAAAACACTTATGAATTAAACATTCCACCAATCGATCTTGAATCACTGTGGAAGCTGCACAGTGACAAGTATAAATATCAAAAAGAGTATTTGACTGTTTGGGAACACCAATCTCACATAGATGCATGAATTTTGCCTGTAGCTCCGCATTCTGCTGTTAAACATGACGATTACAAATATTATGGCTATACTGAAGTGATTAATCTACTTGATTGGCCAGCGACCACTATACCTGTGACATTTACTGACAAAGAAAAAGATATCAAGAACATGCAATACAAATGTATGAATGATCTTGATAAGGAGACATATGAAGCTTATGATCCTGATATTTATGATGGGGGACCTGTAGGAATTCAATTAGTAGGGAAACGACTTCAAGAAGAATATTTACTTGGTTTAACCGAACAGATTGGCGAAGCTTTAGTTGCCTAATAGATGTAGTACACACTTAGCATTTTGATCAAAACTATATTAAATTGGATCTAATATGACGATGCTATAGCTTTCATGATTTATATTTTAAAATAATTTCATTTGATCTTTTATTCTGATTTTTCGCTAATGTTCACTTCATTATTTTCCTGTCAAAATAAAAAATCCTGGCAAAATTTTCATGATTATATGACATACATCTATCGGAAATGATAATACCTGTTGAATTGAAAATAACGTATTTATGATAGTCTGTTCGTGTCAAAGTAAACCTTGTACACAACGCACTATATTTACTGGAATAGATATGATGATTATTTATAACATCTATTTCAATTTATATTACAGTACAATAGAATTTTCATTTAGTCCATAAACGAAATAATATTCATTATATGTAAAAAAGAACTAATAATCAACATACGTAAGAAAGCGTTTAATCTCTTTAGTTCATCTATTTCAAGGAACTGGAAGTTAAATATGTAACAAAGAATAAAAGCAGCTACAGGTTGTTACATTATTTTTGACTACAGAACAGTATATACAGTGGCGGTCAAAATTACTCATAGAGACAACAAATAATGATTCGACACTAATATCTCTACTCCAGTTCAACCTATTGAGTTGTGACTTTTTAGCAAAACGTAGCCAAGTATTGCCACCCTAGTGGATATACTAAATTAAGGGTACCCGAAAGAGTATCCTGCTACTAGTATGTCACAGGATCTGTTGGGTACTAAAGTACCTTATCGGGTACTCTGATACAAAGTATTCAGTAAATGGGTACTTGAAGATACTGACCAGATACTCAATTGGGTACTATTGTACAGTATTTCTAGGTATGCTGTTACCAAAATTTCAGTATGTTCAGGTATCGAATCTGACCTTTGACTTTTTTATTTTTGTTTCTCTCAAAGCGATTTATTACATGTTTTTCGATTTTATTCAATTTAATTTTTTCAATTAAGAAATTTCAGCAGATCCAATGCCGAGAACTGACCGAACTTAAGTTGGTCAGGTATCTATCAGACCACTTCAGAATAGTCCGCTCCTAATCTGTGATCAAGATCGACATGTTCTCAACTAAGAGATAGTCAAGAAAAAATCTAGAAAAATTAGTATGAAAATAGATTATTTTCTTATGTTTTGCCGAGTTGTTTATATGGAGCCGTACGTGAAAAAGAAAACGGTGAGTGAACAGTCGCTACACAGAACACGACAAATATAGGGTACCTTGTGAAGTTTTCCCCGGTAAACTTACAGATGCGGGTACCTTACAAGTACTTGTTCAGTGAGCGTACTTTTATGGGTACCCCATGCAGTGCTTACATTAGTGTAATTACTGAGAATTTTCGAAGTACCCATATTGGGTACTCTGCTAAGCCTTTCACAGTACATGGATACCCTGAACTCAGTACTTTCTCTAGGGCACTTACTTCAGTAAAAGTATTAACCTAATTGAACTTGTTTTAATAGTGCAACGATAAAGAATATTAAAATCGTACAGTTATAATTTAATTCAAAATTATGCATACAATTAATTTTTCATCAAAGGAAAGACTTTAACTCTACTAATAAATAACAAATTGAATTAGTTTCGCATACAAACTTCTCAAGTATACTCCACTATTTCTGATGTGCATAATCAAGGATAACTTCGTCTTTTTTATTCTGATATCAAAACAATAAAAGCATGTACAGACATAACTATTTCTCTTATCTCATAGTTCCATTAAATATCGTCCACGTGAAATAGTAAACATTCGGTTATTCAAAACATTAGGCGTGGTGAATAAATGTCTCAGAAGGAACGTAATTGTTCTTTAGAATTTATAAAATAGATGGTGCTGTCACTTCGCAAATAAAGTGTTTATAAAATCTAGTCATTCGTTGTTGATTATACTTCTGCATTGCATCCGATTTTTTGCTTGATACTTTCTACTCATGCTATTTGATAATCGGTCTTTCTTTACTTTATTATATCTCTCTATCTAGTCTGTCATACTTAAAAACAACACTTGCATTGTTGAGTTACTAAAGCACGGCATCCAAATCCAAAGAATAATCAGAATATTTTCGAAAATTGTTGGCCGATCACTATTTACATGGAGATTTATCAGGTGATATTGCACAATACATGAAAATTACGAGAGCAACAGTTCAATCGATTGTAACAATATGCAAATTATAGAAAAAGGTAAAAACTATTCCAGGTCATGGAAGAAAAAGAATAGACGATTTTATACAAAGAATACTGCTCTCGGATCGAAAAAAAACCGTCTATTGCAATGAGAGCAGAGTTGCAAAATTTATTAAGTGTTGAGATCTCTACGACAACGATTAAATGCTGGATGCATGAAATTGGTTACTGGAAACGAGTAGCACAAAAACAACCCTTGATTAATGATCTTAACAAACGAAAACGCTTGATTTAGTTCAATATCTGAACTTCAAGTATTCAGTAGTTGAATAGTTGAATTCTACTCGCTGGTTTGACATGTACATAGAAAAGTGTAGACCTTTATTTTCTATCTTTCTAAATAATTGAAATCATAGATGAAGGGAGTGACAGATTTAAAGTCATATCCAATGAGATCATTTCCGTATGAATGGGTTACAGGCATATTTATGCAGCTGAAACTGGGCTAATCTTTTCAAACCAGTACATCACACTCTGCATACTGGTGTCAAACAGATTGAAACCTGAGACTGATTCTTGGTGACACATGATTGTTACTTCAAAGGATGCCTAATATTTCTTTATTGAAAAATGAGCGTCGAAGTAAACTCATTTTAAAGATATCGACAATATGATTTATGCAAGCTCCCAATGTACAAGTAACGTTCATCAACCTTAATTGTTAATTCATTGGGCCCTAGACTGATGGAATGATGACAAAGATGTGCTTATACTTTTATATAAAAAATAAATTCTTTACAAGAATGACTTTAAGATAAACTATGAATACTTGTAACATTTTATATATAACATGCTAAAGATATATTCAAACATTTAACATAAAACATTCAAAGATATTAGTGTGTATGATAAAGTTTATGCCTTGCTTTAGTTGATTATAACGAATAAAAATAGTGATTCATGTCATAGAAATCCTCATTTATGTCATAAGAATGACCAACTGCGTCATAGAGATGGTTGATGATGTCGTAGAAATAGTAAATTAAGCCACAGAAATCGTTACGGATAGATACGGGTAAATTACGGTCTTGGGTGGGTGTGGGAGGTGTGGGTGTGGGGTGAGTGTGGGTGTGGGGTGTGGGTGTGAGGGTGGGTGTGGTTAGAAAGAAATGAAATTCCAAGCAAATTTACGACAGGTTTCGTCCTTGCTGAAGGGACTCGTCAGGTAATTTAGGAATTTCAGTAAACTGCATTAGTATCCGAGGCGTTTCTGATCTGGGCTTTTGAAATGTGTAGGTGGTTTCTGCTGCTGGGAAGGTTTTTGACCTGTTTTTTTGGAAGATCGATGGGGTTGAAATCTGATGATATGGTGGACTCTTACGTTGGCCGTAGGACCTGTTGTTGAGTGATGTGGAGTCTCTGATAGGATTTGAAAATCCAGTGTGAACTCTTGTTATGTATCGAAATGGGTTGATACTTAGGCAGGGGTTTGGAACGCAAAGGAAATATCGTGATTTTATCGAGAACG